ACTCCAGGAGACTCCTACATCCACGAGTTACTTGCACCAAGAGATTCCTACACCAATAAGTCACCTACACCAGGGGAATCCTTCATTCAGGAGTTATTCACACCAAGAGATTCCCACACTAACAAGTTACTGAGGGCAACAGATTCCTTCATCCACGAGCTAATTACACCGAGAGATACCTACACCAATGAGTCACTTACGCCAGGACGTTCCTTCACCAATACGCCATTTACTCCAGGAGAATCCGTCATCCACGAGTTATTAGCACCAAGAGATTCCTACACCTACGAGTCACTTAAACCAGAATACTCCTGCACCCAGGACTTCCTTTCACCTAGAGATTCTGACATCCGGGAGTTATTGACACCTATAGAGTCCTACACCATTGAACCACTTACACAAGGAGACTCCTACATTCAGAAGTTATTCACACCAAGAGATTCCCACACTAACGAGTTACTGACGCCAACATATTCCTACGCTAATAAGCTACTTACACCAGGACATTCCTTCACCAATACGTCACTTTCTCCAGGAGACTCCTACATCCACGAGTTATTGACGCCAACATATTCCTACGCTAATAAGCTAATTACGCCAGGGCATTCCTTCATCAATACGTCACTTTCTCCAGGAGACTCCTACATCCACGAGTTATTAGCACCAAGAGATTCCTACGCCAACGAGTCACTTACACCAGGAGACTTCTGCACCCAGGACTTCCTTTCACCTACAGATTCTGACATCCGGGAGTTACTGACACATAGAGAGTCCTACATCAATACGTCACTTACTACAGGAGACTCCTACATCCAAGAGTTATTAGCACCAAGAGATTCCCAAACTAACAAGTTACTGACGCCAACAGATTCCTATGCTAATGAGCTACTTACACCAGGAGACTCCTACACCCTGACTAGAGATTCTGACATCCGAGACTTATTGACACTAAGAGATTTTTACACCAAAGAGTCACTTACACCAGGAGACTCCTACACCAATAAGTCACTTATTGGTGTTGAACTTGAATCTCCTAGGCAAGGTGACAAAACAAATTCACCTACATCTTGCTTAGACAGTGAAGCCGTACAACATGGACCCTTTGGTGGAAAGGTAAGCAGACTTTCTGATCGTTTGTGTTTACTCCTTTTTTTTAAATATTCTTCTTTATTCTAATTGAACTGGCATTAGAGAAAAAGAATCAATGTGCAGATATATGTAAAGATTAATCTAAATCATGAAATTATATATATGCACGGCGACAATTGCTCGTTAGTAGTTGAATATTCCAGTCAATGCCCTGGTAAGAAAGACAAGGATAACTTACAAAAATGTACCATGGTAACCGTGGTACTTTTGTCTAAATTACCATCCACCAGGGTAACCATGGTTATCATGGTACCAAAACAATATAATACATTGGGTCATTAAACAATGTATTTCATTGTTTTTGTACGATGATAATAATGGTTACCATGGTGGATGGTAATTTGGAAAAAAAGTACCATGGTTACCATGATACATTTTTGTATTATAACACTAATAGAAGTCCTTCAATTTTGACATCCTAAGAACCAAAAAAAATCCAAACCGTTGCCCTGTAGATTTTAAGGCATATAGTAGTAGGCTCTCATGGGGAATTTGACACTATTCGCGTGTTTACCCAATAACAGGTGTTGTCAATCACCAGGATTAGCCTTCAACTTTATGACCAACAGGCGTTATGTAATGCTCTGTCTTTCCCCCATATGGTAAAGTCCTTATCTGACATTTGCATTACCCGAAGACTCTCCGAGAGACGAGGGGGTATTTCTTGATTGGCCTACAGGTTTGCTGTGTGCAGACTTATACTTCAATTAATGGTATTTCCACGAAGTCTGGTACGGTCTCAGCGAATTATGACCCTTTGCAAATGACAGTTGATGATCCTCGATCTCCCTTTAATAATTCTGAACCCTGTGTAAAAACTTCACCGGAGCAAATATCTGATTACTAAAATGCTCCTCAGATTAAACACATTTCAGCTATTCAAGTGTTTAACTGTCTGTCCTCTATAGAAATATGCACACTCCATTATTAACCCAATCCCTTTATACAGTATTTAAAACAAATATTGTTGGACTAATTGGAGTATCATTCAATTTGCAGGAGATGGAAAACACATCATCAAGATCAGCATGCCACAAAACGGATAGCTTGAAAGGAACAGTTGATGTGATGTTATCGCAGCAGCCGCACCTGACTGATTTACTGCTTGTCAAAGCGGGGGATGTGGAGCTCAATCCGGGTCCTCTTCACGGGTAATACAATTTAAATTAAATGAATTAGCACATACACCATATTATGCACCATGTACACAGCAAATCATGTACACCAACGCATACACCCACTCACCTCACACGTGCACAACCATATTATATATGTATTATATATCATATGTTTATATATATATATTCCTGTATATATATAAATATAGTTCACAACATCATATAGGATACAAACTAGAGGAGCATGTTTTTAACTTCACAATCGCTTTCGATTTATTCTCATCATGTGAAGTGATGGCGAGAATTAATCAAAAGCAATTGTGATATATATATGTGTGTGTGTGCATGCATGGCGTGTGTGTGTGTGTGTGTGTGTGTGCGTGTGTGCGTGTGTGTGTGTGTGTGCAAGCTAGTTTGCTCTTTTGCCCAGGTGCCTTAAATCTACAAGCCTTTGGCTTCCCTGTCGTTCTCTGCATTTCCAAACATTGTTTTCTTGTCTTGTTTTGTTCAGGTGCTTTTATAAAAATAAAACAAAATTGAATTATTCAATTTCTTGTACACTATGGAATTTAAAAAAGTAATTGTTACTTCTTTATGACCCAAGTCATGTTGTAAATTTATTTATTGTAATTATTTTCAAACCGATTATCAACCATGTCCTGCACATGTCAACATGTAATATGTTTTAACTTTATGTTTTGAAATGAAAATAAATGAAATGAAATGAATTTGTATACCCTTTTCATGAGTAAAAATATGAAAGTACTTTTTTTTCTTGAATACATTGATTTTGATCTACTTTCAATTATTCTTCTTTTCTTCTTCAGACCTATAGATAGTGTACTGCAGGAGAGTGAACTCATATTGCTCGCTGAAGAAGTTCCAGTCGACTGCTACAATAAACTGTGCACTGCTCTTGGTTTCAGCTTAACACAGAGCCAAACTGTACTAACCCAACATCTTTTCAACTTCCCGGGAGCCTTGATCAACTTCTTCTGCAGATGGAAAGTCAAGCAGAGAGATGGCACCAATATTCGAGCACTTCTTGGAGAAATTCTTAAAAACGCTGATATGGCTGGTCTTCAGACAAAATTATTGGAAGGTAACTTTGCCACTGTACCTGTAATGTCTTTTTTTACGTGAATGTCTTCATTTTATGCGTAGTTGCAGAGGTACATGATAAGGATAAACATTATGATACACATACATCGGACAGTGAGAATAGATCATAAGGGTGACTAATTGTATGCGCATTAAAAACACAATTTATCAAATAAAAAAGGAGTAGTATTATCAGCCGAGAAAATGAATGCCTGGGCGTGCAAATCTTATCCACTTAAAAATACTTTCATTTACCTTATGTGCGATTTTACAAGATGGAAGAAAAGAGAAAGATGCGGAAGTATATCCCAAGTTTGCTTATTACTAACAATGTACATACTTTTAGAGTTATCCCTCCTGCCAGAGAAACACACTTTTTTTAATATGGTATGCGGACATTTTTACAACATTAATTAACAAAACATTGAACGTTCTTTTATCTATGTATTAATTTATTTTCCATTCTTAAGGTGAATATCTTACATCTAGAACCTCACCGTCTGGTAAGTGTACATTATACATTTTACTCAAAATATCATTCGGTTATCAGGGGCCTATCGTGTCTCAACAATAAAAATATTGAAATAATTGCAGCAATACTGAATTTTCAAAGTTCCACAACAATGTAGGTTTGGTTTAGATAAATAAAATTATAAATAAGATATTTGTATACCGCAAATTGCAAATCGCCTCTAAGCGGTTTAAAAGAAAATAGCTAATAAGTAAAGGAAATAGAAATTGCAATACAAATTATATCAATTTAAATTATTATTAAAAGATTGCAAATGAAAATAATACATGTAAATAATTACAAATCACTTACAACCAAAAATACAAATAGTTCATAAATTAATAGTATCCTACGGTAATCTACAAAAAAATATTTAAAAAGGCAAAAGGTCAAAAGAGCTATTCAGGAACAAGACTTAATGATATGTGTTTTTAGCATTGTTTTAAATGTATTTACAGAGAAAATATTATATATTTTAATGTGAAAATTAATTATGATATTCTGTTCTCTCATTCTCTGTTCATATTGAGAATGATATTAGTTAAGGGTGGACTTTCTCTTTAAAGCGAGCTCTTTGGACATATTACTGGACGAATGTGAAATGTAATTTATTGCGTTGTGTATCTGTTACTATATTAAAGGCATTGTTTAACGAAAAATGAAATTTCGATTTTCAATCATAAATATGTTGATAATCAGACAGGCGATTGACTTGTAAAAGTCATGGAATTCCTGACAGACCTAAATTTGTATAAATATTATTGCAGCATGAGCAAAGTCCGGTATTTTGATTCAGAATCTGAGGCAATGCTACCGAGTCACTTTAAGAGCATCGATCAATGTAAATCATATATTAGCATTAAATATCTACAACGTATCGCGAAGACTGATAGTATTTGCATGTTCGACCCATGTCATTACATTTCCAATGGGTTGCGTCCCAGGATGTGGTTACATCCTGAAGATATTTGATATGTTCCTATGTTCACCTCCCAAAGATTTCATTTGCCTTTCTAAATGCGTTAGGCATATATTATCTGTGTCCTTATTTGTAACATCTGTTGAAATATACATTTCGTTGCATTTACAACCACTGTTTTTAATCTCCGTACAGATCCAATACTGGATACTTCCCAAACAATTATGACTGAGGCACAGGTTCTCCAGTGTGGGGAAGACTTGAAAACATTCTATAGCACAGAAATGTGCAAAATCAAACCTCACCCGCTTGATTTCAATATCATCGTTGAATTCGAGCAAATTTACACGAACTTAACGCTGCTCAGGAAAGAAATGGGAACAAGGAGAAGCATAACGGCTCTGGATTACACTGATCTTCTTACTACAGAGATTAATGGGGTGCTTCCTAAACGTCTTCTGGTTGAAGGTGAAGGTGGTGTTGGTAAAACGACATTCTGTTCGAAGATCGCATGGGATTGGGTTAATGGATCTCCAGAGTTTCAGTGCTTCAGTTGGGTTCTGGTTATACCCCTGCGCAACGTTGTTAAGGGTCAGACAATTGGTGATATTATGAAAAACTATCTCTCTGACAATAATGTTGTAAACTCTAAGCAGATCGATAATTACATATTGTCTCAACCAACAAAGGTTCTGATTGTACTTGATGGACTCGATGAGTATGATGGGGACCTCTCTGCCAAAGAAAGGTCGGATATTTCTCAGATCATACGATTCAAGAAATTCAAGGAATGCATAGTTCTGGTGACAACACGACCATGGAGGGCGAATAAGATCAAATCCAACAAAAGATTGAGTAATTCGTATGCTTTCATTGCAATAAATGGATTTAGTCCTGAAAATGTCTCGACATACATTAGAAAGTACTTTGTTAATGATAAAAACGCAGGATCAGAACTGAGTCGGTTTATTGAAGTGAATGACGTAATCAAGGAGAACATGGCACCCTTCCCAATTTATGTAGCAATGCTATGTATCTTATGGGAAAATTGTGACAGTGAGAAACGAGAAACAATACGCAAACTGAAGACATTTTCTCAATTATTTGAAAAAATGATCATGTTTCTTGGAGACCATTATGTGTCAAAGAATGCAAAAGTGTTACATAAAGCCCACCTGGACAACGACATAGAAAATATTAAGCTTTGTTTGCAAAGAATAGGATCGATTGCCTTCTCAGGAGTCCTGAAAAAGAAATTGGTCTTTAATGAGGAGGACTTCAGCTCGTGTACGGAAGCCATGGAGACATGTTGCAGAATTGGAGTTCTAAGTCGGGAAAATCGAAATGTATCCTTATGGGAAAGGACTTCGAATGCTTCGCAGCCTATAACCACTATCGTCCTCTTTCCTCACAAATTATTTCAAGAATATGTTGCGTCCGTTTATCTTGCCTCTCTTTATGACACGAATCGCGCAGAGTACAGTAGGTCAATGGGCAAAGTACTGAGTGATAACGCACGAGAATTCCGTTACCTCTTGTATTTCACTGCTGCCAAGAGAAAGGAGGTGGGACTTGATATTGTCAAGAAAATACAACAAACTGACTTCCCAGATGTACAACAAAGAAGAATAAACAAGGATTTTCTAGCAGATGTCACTTTTGAAGCATATAACAAAGACACGGCAAAAGCAGTAGGACAAAGGGTATTTGCAGATGAGAGAAAACTGACTATCGATAAAGACATGCCTGCTCACACAATTTCTGGATATTTATTCATCATGGAACAGCATAAAATGGTTTGTTATATTTTCAATTATATGCCGCATACAAAGATTATAAGCCTCTGATTGGTCAAAATTCCAGGCATGAAATTCACTACCGACTGTAGCTAGGGCATTATACTGAAAAATATTGACCGGGTATAGTTCTACTTGTGCGTACAACCAGGGAGGTGAGACATAACTAAAGTCAACAATGAATACGCGAAGTAAGAAACGCATGTTAATTTACCACCAAATAAATACATTTTGACATGCCTATTTTGTTTCAATACATCATGTATCCCTTTTTGAGAATTGACACAAGGGATGCGTTTTATAAAACAAATACTGCTTTAATTTTGTTGGGGTCTTGCTTAAAGTATATTGCTCCTCTGTCATCTATTGACTGCACTCTGCCCACTAGACCTCATCTTGGGCACCGTATATTTTCGAGATCACCTTCAGTCCAAAATCTGGCCGATTCAAAGTTGATCTCCACCACATCAACGCAATGCGAGTATGCGACCTCCTCCTACTAACTCACTGCCAGCCGAAGATGGTGTGATCCTTAATGAGGACGCCCGGCGAAAAAAATCTGGGCGAACGAGTTTTCTTCTTTGAAAAGATAATGTAATTCAATATAGAAGCGTTACTTGGTAGACATTTACTGCCTGTTGAACGTCGATGAATAATAACTATATATATAGCCTGGAGAGAATTACTAAACTGAAACTGTATATATATATATATATATATATATATATACACACACACGCACACACACGCACACACACACATACTGTATGATATACCTAGGCCTGTATAACATGTCGGGATCATTTAAGCAATAAGAACTGTATAGTAATTATAACGTGTTTATGTATATTTCAGGAGACGTTGGTGTTCAGAGGCAGATCATGTGGCCCAACTGTATCGCGTGACCTAGCAGATGTCCTATGCACATCAGACTCATTATCAATATTAGAGTTTTATTGCACAACATTGGATGCTGACTTCTATCAGTTAATGCATACACAAGTTTCTACAATGGCGGTAAATATATAATTATTCAAACAGAATACTAATGATTACAATTCGTCTTCCATTTTGTGTTCAAAAACGTTACTTTGGGACGTCGCGCGACGGAACCATTTCATTTTTTCGCTACCAAATTTAGCTACGCAGACCACCTGCATATACCTAAACAAGCACGTTGACCTCTTTACCTCTTTTAAGAAGATATTAAAAAAAATATGCACACTTCATCCATTGCTGCCTTATTGCTTTTAAGGCCTGGCATGGAATTATTGGTTTCTTCGGTGCTAGCAGGATAAAGGGTGACATTATTTGGTAGAGAGTGAACACTCGTTAGAAAAGGGGATATATACAACTTTCATCATGGGGTATTTATTATTGGAATTATGCTTCTTTAAGTCTTGAAAATGCGCTGAACAGAATTTTTAAAGAGAAAATTCAGAATCTGTACTTATGTAAAGCTACTAGGCTTAATTTTATCACGTGAGAACCCAACCAATTGCCCCCTCTTTTGGAGAGAAATTAGCCCTTATGAGGGAAGGGGGCAGAAATGATTGTGTTCCTTTGTGACTTACTACTTTGCTGTGCATGCACCATTTATTGGAGGAGAAGTCCTATGCTTTCGGAAGTGTGTTTTAGCTTTAATTCATGACTGATTATTGAATCATGGAGGGCAATAAGTATTTTCCCCACCCTTTAATAAGTTGATAAACTAAAAAGTCACTTTAATAATAATACTAAGAATGATAATAGTATTAATAATAATATATGAGATTTTATAAGGCGCCAAATCCACTTGAAATCAAATTTTTAAGGCGCACGTGTAAAAAAAATGAAGAAGAAGAGAAAATCGCATAAAAGTATTTGCATTATAAACAAAACAACAGGAGTATTAAAGCTAGAAAATACACAAATAAAACGACAACTTTGATCATATATTTTGTTAAAGGGGAAATCCACCCGGATTTAAGTTGGATTTAATAGAAGCAGTGAAACTTTGAGCAAATTCCGATTAACAGCTAGTAAGATGGTTATGGACTTTTAAGGTGCTATCAATCAAACGCAATTTGGCAACACTGTGACGTATTTTGTGAGCTCCTCTCCAATTTGCGCTGTACATTAAATTTCATGAACTTTCTTTTTCTTTAGTATTGATGACAATATTTTTTTCTATACCGGGTTGAATATAAACAATTATATCCCACATACTAAGAATCTTGCTCTACGATTGGTGAAAAGTAAATCACGTGAGGAAAAATAGTTCGGCCATTATTGATGGGAGAAGCAAAAAGTTCGTTACACTGTGTAGATAGTACTACTATCTACACAGTGCAACGCACTTTCATTGAAGATAGAGGTACTATCTACAAAGGGCAACGCACTTTTACTGAAGATTATCCAAACGCGCACTTAAACAGGCGTAATTGGGCGCGCATTACCAATGAGCGCAATTAAAGAAAACACATGCGCGCACCTTGCCCTCGAGGGGTTGGGTTAAACTTCAACTTTTTTGGTGTGAATTTGGGCCTAGGTATCTTTTATGTAGATGCATACACGTCCTTTTCTTTTTGTAATTAAATTGTTTTAGATGTGGAATATAAAGCAAATAATCACCTTTTGGTTTTCAGGCGATGGCAAACTATCACTTCCTCGTCGATCAGAATATATACGCTATCTTTCCTCAGCTTCGCTTCGGAAAGATAGCTACATCCAGATCGCCTCGGAAATGATAGTTTGTCCCATCACCTTCACCAACGGTAATTATTTGCTTAATATGCAATAACTATATTTAGGTTGCATGTATGATTGAAAATGTTTTTGAGGGAAAATAAAAATTTCAGATTTGTTTAATAAAGTGCAGAACAAATGGGAAGGGAGCTCGCAAAATATGTCGCAGAGTTACCAATTTGTATTTGATATTGATTGCAACTTCAAATTTTATAAAGTTCTTATTTTTAATCGTAATTTGCTCGTACTTTTGATGACCTGTTTCTCTAATTTTTCTGTAAAAACAAAATATCTGCTTCATCAAGAAAAATTTATATTTAAAGTTCTTTTTCCTTTTCGTTAGATTGGGAATTTCTGTCTGTATGGCATTGTAGAACATGACCAAGCTGTCATTCTTGTTCATACTTTTGATACAAGCTTATATTATATGAAAATATTTATTGATAATACTCTACTTCATTGCCATTTTGCACACAGAGAGGTAAATCCTCAATCAAAGAGCTGGTTGTAGATCATGAATTCCTAAATGGTCTACAGAGGTTTAATGATGGTGACATTAATGTCACAGTTGAGGGCCTATTCCCGAGCTTGAATCAACTGACTTTTAACACTCTTCAAACTGTCTCACAAGGAGTTGTTGAACGGTTGGCACATTCCAGCCTAGCAGTGTTGTCTATTGAGCATGGTGAGGGAGGGAGGAAATTAGTTCCTCTCATTGGAGAACCTGCTTCGTTGGGGCTACTTTTCTCTAGTTCATTCCCACAACTCACATGTCTGACCTTTCGAGAGCTAGTAATGGGCAACATACGCAGTGAAGCAATACTACGTAATCTAATGAACCACCTGCATTTGAAATCAATGCGGTAAGTAAATCAGGGCCATGTTTGCAGAAGTTGTCATTATTTCCAATGATAATGAAAATAATAATGATAATAATACTTTTAATGATAATATTTTTAATGATAATAACAATAATAGTAATGATACTTCTAATGACAATGATTCAAATTAATAAATAAATGAATAAATAAATGAACAATAACAATAACCTAGTGAAATTAAAGAAACGGATAGGCCAATATGTATAAATTATAGAAAAAATACCAATAAATCAATCAAATGGTTTCAATTTCTGACAGCAATCAGATTTTTAAAAGCTTGTGTAAGCTTGTGAAAGAGTTTTCTGCCCTAACAACGTTGTCAATTAGTAAATTTATTTCCAAAATAATTATCGCAAGAGTCAGTTATGATAAAGTAAAAAGGGACTTAACGCAAATATAAACTAAAGAAATTCATCTTGTTGATTAAGTTATGATCGTTGCATAACCACCTAGAACATTTATAATATGTGGGATTTTTATTTTAACCTACTTCTATATTTGTTTTGATAGTATAGACGTATCAAACATTTTTTAAACTGAATATCTAAATGAGAATTATAACAAGAAAACCCCAGTAGCTGGTAACAGCCTGTTTGGTTATATCATTGGGTACTTAATTCTTCTTCAATTCCTTTAAACATTCAGTGATTCAAAATGTTTAAATAAGTACTTTTCTTGAACATATAATTATGTTGTACAGTATCATCAAATGTTTTACGGATGACGAATTGGACCCCCTGGCTAAACAAATAACTGCTGTGAAAAGGATGAAAATAACTCTTCAACATGACACGGTAAATGTTTTTGTCACATCGACTTTGTTGCTCCCAAATACGTTTTTAGAGTGTTAAATTATTATACATAAAGGGAAGTTCACCCTGATATTCAGTTTTGATGAATGCATGAAATTGAGAGAAACAAATCAGTAAATGTGCACGCAAACTCTGATAGAGAATACTAGAATTATTGGTTATTTATAGTTTTATAATCAATCAAAAACAAATTGACACTGCTACGACGGTTCTTGCGAGGTCCACTCGCAATGGCTCCGTACAAAAAATATTATCTAAAGAAATATATTAATCACACATTGTACATATGTTTCTAGTTTTCTACACAATGTCTGTATGAAAAAAAAATTGTCAGCAACTAGGACAATTGAAATTTACAGAGAGTTTTCTGTCTTTTTTCAAATGGGAGAGGATGCCAGGAAGGACCTCAAGTACATGGATCAAACATCAATTAGCATTCATTCCGAGCCCAAATACAACATTAAAAGCATAAGATTAAGAATCATCAGACACCTGTATACATTTGGCGAACTATTACTCTGAAACATGTCAAAGCATATTGATGAAAGTTCCATAGTCGTAATTGACATTAATTGGAAGTTTGAATTAATCTGTATGATTCGCTTGTTTGATATAGAAATCCCATTTAACATCTTTAGCTTTGCCTTCTACAGTAGTTATCATACTAAATGCCTGGTCTTATTTGGGAATATTTCAAACAAATTGCCAATACCTAGGTTTTTGTGCTCACCATACGTTGCAATGTCAGGGTATTCCCTTCAGAGTTTATCAAATAAGAAACCAGCAACTATTCTTTTCAACAGGAACAAGAGAGCATAGAATTAAGTGATGTGGATTCCTTAGATACAGTGGATGCACTTTGCCATCGAACATGTGTTCGTTGTTTGACAGTACGCAAAATGGGCGTAAAAAGTGCAAGTGACGAATGTTTTCCAGACCTTCATGGCAGAGAGGTGGATTCAAAGGTTAGTGAATGCGTGAAGCTGCTTTTTTACACTTTCACCCCCATTCTCTCTCTCTCTCTCTCTCTCTCTCCCTCTCTCTCTCTCTTTCTCTCTATCTATCTCTATTTCATCCCTTCCTTGACAATACAAGTTGTTTGTGTTATTGCTAAAGTACTTTCTTCTCCCATTCCATTCAATTTCTCTCTCCTCCCCACGATCTATGTGCTATCTTTATAATTAGATGCCCTTTAAAGGTATAGATCATTTCTGGTCATGCGAAAGTTGGCCAACTTTTCGTAAAGTTACAAGCACTGTACACAGAAAGATGTATATGGGACTACGCGATATCTATTCAGTCCGGATAGATATAATAATTTACCAAATATATCAAATAGTATGGGGTTTCCCAGCAAAAATTTGTATCATAACGTATTGGGCAAAACATATTCTTTCAAATGATTGGTAATAAGAGCTTCCATTTCATTTTTTGAGAGGGGGGGGGGGCACGAACGGAGGGACCGCATGCGTGTTCCCAAAATCTCCGGCTCGTAACAAAAGAAAAAGGTCTTCCCATATTGACTTTACACACCGGACTTATGCTGAAAGGGGGAGGGGTGCTGGGAACATGCATATGCGTACCCTATATAACACTGATTGGGGGCCTGGGGGGGGGGGGGGCCTATATCTTTAACGAGAGTATATATTATTTTGCTTGAATGTCAACATTTAAATTTCTGTATGTAGAGGTGATATGTCTATAATTAATTCCCCACTAGAGAGGAGAGCCTTCAAGTCAAACCAGATTTATTTGGATAATCCTAGACATACTTTTCCCTCATTGCTCTCCAATCACTCATTTGTGGTCCTTCGATCATGCTGACATTTGTAAATTTGGAAAGGAAATGAAAATATTTTCTGCTGACTAGTATTGTAATTATCACAAAGTGAATTTTACACCCCCCCCCAAAAAAAAATAAAATAAATATATATATATATATATATATATATATATATATATATATATATATGTGTGTGTGTGTTAGTCTAACCACCATGGGCCCTACCGCATCTTGGGCAGCCCCCCCCCCCCCCCGTGAACGGAGGGATTCCATGCGTGTTACCAAAATGTCCGGTAAAGGGGTACTTTTCGTGCGACAAAGTCCGGCCCAAGAATTGTAAAAAAAAAGGGGTTTTATTTGACTTTTCACCCGGAGCTTTCTTTAAAAAGGGGTTGTTTTTTCCTTTTTTTTCTCATCATTTTGGACTCCTGATAAATTAAAAAAGGGGGTTATAAAATAATAATTGGGTGGTTAACTGGTGCTTAGGAAAGAAAGCGATTATTTTAATAAGGTTAGAATTGCTGAGAACAAATATAGCATGTGTGTTGCAAATGAATCCTTATTCGTTAAATATGAAAGAGCATCTTTACGAGGATAAAGTACTTAGATACAGAGTTTGATTACAGGTACATTATTATGTGAAAGAACATAATTATCATGCAGGCACAGGTGATGTCAGTTAAGATTAATGGAAGGTTTATTTCTAACTAAGTCTCAATATCAGGCACTAAAGTAATTATTCAGTCGTGATATATTATGCAGATAAGTGAGCATGGAAATAACTTGCAGACTTAGTTTATTCTTACAAGGTATAAATGGAAACACGAGCACAACAATTTTAGTTCAATACTCAAGTAGGCCTATGTATTTCATGTGCTAAATGTCTGTAGGTAATCTTGTGATTTATTGTATACAGATCGAATTGCTATAACGACTTCTAAAGAATAAAACACACCAGTAATGACAGCTTATCTGAGATGATGGGGGGTGTCTCCATTTCCTGAGATAGGGGGTACGTTGCAGTGTTCTGGGCTTAGGGAGGTCTCCAAGGCAGGAAAAGCCCGCGAAAGGGGGGTTAAGAAATTGTGGCAGTCCTCAGATAAGGGGTGCTTTCAAAGAGAGGGAACAAGCATATGCGTACCCTAAATAACAATGAGTGTGTGTGTGGGGGGGGGGGGGGCGTGGGCAGTCCGACAGGCAAAAACACTTTGGTTAAATTCCAAAAGGCTCAATCCACATATAGTTAGATTCATTTCATTTACAGGTTTGTGTATGCGGGGGGTGTCTATACAAACAAACATACACTACATGAATAGTTCAAAATCACAACTACAGCAATCACCATCACCAATGATTTTTTCCCCCTCTCCATATGATCTGATAGGATATAGGGCCATAGTAGGGCCTGGATGCAATCCCTTGAAGACTATACCTTTGTAGCACTCAGTTGAAACAAAACAAACAAAGAAATGGTAATAAATTGCCATGAATCACAAACCTTCAGGGCTATTCATATAATAATAATAATAATAATATGTATTGCGCTTAATACAAATGTATCGTAGCGCTTAACAAATATTATATTACCCCGGTCATTGGATTCAGTGCTTCCCGCACACAATATGTGCACAATCTCCATCCCTGGGGAGCATTCCTGCCAGGCATTACATGACGCTCAAAACTGTTTGACCAACAATGACGGTCGCACCCTACCGAGTACCCATGTAACACCTGGGTGGAGAGTAGCAATTGCAGGTTAATATCTTGCCAAAGGATATTAGGATATGATTCGATTCATAAGTCTAACCCGGAATACCGTTACATTTCTCAGTCATGCCTGTGTGTTATTCTTCTTCTTTTTTTGGGGGGGGGGGGGGGGGGCTTTACAAATTACCGCTAAATACTGACTGAAGGGTTTCCACTATCATTTATCCTTCTTCATGACTTGCCAGCGTATTCGATTGCATTTCCTCAGATTCACGTGTTGAAGGTTGAATACATTAAATCATTACCATTGAAACAGATTCTAAAACTAAATGATGACCAATCAACTCTCTCTTGTCTGGAGAATTTTCTCTGGGCTCGGTTAAGAGCATTCCAGTTGTATTTTTTTAAATATTTAATTTGTTACATGTTTGTGTTCATAATATGAAGGATTTCATTCCAAAAGGAGCTAAATCCATTTTTGTAAATTCGAAGAAATCAGAAATTGTTTACCAGATTTTGCACAGGCGTCTACGGAAAAGTGATATTGGAAGGTGCATTTTTTTAAATTATTGCTCACAAAATTTAGATAAGACGGGTACATTTGTAAGACGGGTACATACGTGAATAATGTTCTGAACCCAATTTTCTTCAAAAGTGGATTTAGCTCCTTTTGGAATTGCTTCATATATTCATTTTACACAGAAAATTTGACAAACGAACCAAACAGTTTTGCTCTATATATATCTTTACTGCCCCCCCCCCCGCTTCCTCAAACCGGAACCCTGGATCAGCTTATTTATTAATGTTAATTCTTAGTGTGACAGTACAGACTATATTTTTTCCCATGTCATACTTCATGATTCACGATTTTATTCTTTTGTATTTCCATGCACAGATTCAAGAGTTATTATTTTGGGATTTGAAGCTACGCGATGATCAATCAGCATCCTACCGTCTGGGGAAGTTTCTCAGTCTCCTGCCTCATCTTACAGACCTGACTATTTGGAAAAGTGACTTGCATGATGATTTTTACAAAGAGATTGCTGATCGAGCCTCTTTAACCCAGGTAAAATCTATTTTTAAAAAAACACAGATAAAAAGAGATGGGAAATATTTGTTTCTTTTTTAAAAACCTGAGGTTGCGGGATAGGACTACAAATAAATTGGCGTAAATATTCTTGACGCTTTTCCCACGAATGACACTTTGTTATCAATGAGACGTTTCTATAACTAAATGATGACAAATCAGCTTTCTCTTGTCTGGAGAAGTTTCTCTAGGTCCGGATTAGAGCATTCCAACTGTATTTTCAATAGTTAATTTTGTATATGTTTGTGTTAATTTGATATAGATTTTACACAGAAAATAATACAAACTTAACAAACAGTTACCAAGTGTTTTGCTCTTTAGATTTCTCTTTACTGACTCTCTCCCTCCCCCTTCCTCAAACCACAAACCGGGATCATCTTCTGTCAAATATGTGATTGCTTAAATCGACAGTACAGACTATATTAAGGGTTTCTAATTTTCCCCATGTCATGCTTCTTGATTCACGATATGTTATTCTTTTGTATTTCCATGCACAGATTCAGAAGTTAAAAGTTTGCTATTTGAAGCTACGCGATGATCAATCAGCATCCTACTGTCTGGGGAAGTTTCTCAGTCTCCTGTCTCATCTTACAGACCTGGAGACTGAATCATGTTCCTTTCATGATGATTTCTACAAAGAGATTGCTGATCGAGCTTCGTTATCTCAGGTTAGAACTTCTTTTTTGTTAAAGCAGATAAAAAGAGATGTGGAATATTAATTTTGTTTCTTTTTGTTAAACCTGAGGATGCGGGATAGGACTAAGAATAAATTGGCGTCAATATTCTTGACGCTTTTTCCATGAATGAAACTTGGTCACCAATCAGACGTTTCTATAATTAATTGATGACAAATCAGCTTTCTCTTGTCTGGAGAAGTTTCTCTGGGTCCGGATTAAAGCATTCCAACTGTATTTTCAATAGTTAATTTTGTATATGTTTGTGTTAATTTGATATAGATTTTACACAGAAAATAATACAAACTTAACAAACAGTTACCAAGTGTTTTGCTCTTTAGATTTCTCTTTACTGACTCTCTCCCTCCCCCTTCCTCAAACCACAAACCGGGATCATCTTTTGTAAAATATGTGATTGCTAAAATCGACAGTACAGACTATATTAAGGGTTTCTAATTTTCCCCATGTCATGCTTCTTGATTCACGTATGTTATTCTTTTGTATTTCCATGCACAGATTCAGAAGTTAAAAGTTTGCTATTTGAAGCTACGCGATGATCAATCGGCATCCTACTGTCTGGGGAAGTTTCTCAGTCTCCTGTCTCATCTTACAGACCTGGAGACTCAATCATGTTCCTTTCATGATGATTTCTACAAAGAGATTGCTGATCGAGCCTCTTTAACCCAGGTAAAATCTATTTAAAAAAAAAACACAGATAAAAAGAGATGGGAAATATTTGTTTCTTTTTTAAAAACCTGAGGTTGCGGGATAGGACTACAAATAAATTGGCGTAAATATTCTTGACGCTTTTCCCACGAATGTCACTTTGTTATCAATGAGACGTTTCTATAACTAAATGATGACAAATCAGCTTTCTCTTGTCTGGAGAAGTTTCTCTGGGTCCGGATTAGAGCATTCCAACTGTATTTTCAATAGTTAATTTTGTATATGTTTGTGTTAATTTGATATAGATTTTACACAGAAAATAATACAAACTTAACAAACAGTTACCAAGTGTTTTGCTCTTTAGATTTCTCTTTACTGACTCTCTCCCTCCCCCTTCCTCAAACCACAAACCGGGATCATCTTCTGTCAAATATGTGATTGCTTAAATCGACAGTACAGACTATATTAAGGGTTTCTAATTTTCCCCATGTCATGCTTCTTGATTCACGATATGTTATTCTTTTGTATTTCCATGCACAGATTCAGAAGTTAAAAGTTTGCTATTTGAAGCTACGCGATGATCAATCAGCATCCTACTGTCTGGGGAAGTTTCTCAGTCTCCTGTCTCATCTTACAGACCTGGAGACTGAATCATGTTCCTTTCATGATGATTTCTACAAAGAGATTGCTGATCGAGCTTCGTTATCTCAGGTTAGAACTTCTTTTTTGTTAAAGCAGATAAAAAGAGATGTGGAATATTAATTTTGTTTCTTTTTGTTAAACCTGAGGATGCGGGATAGGACTAAGAATAAATTGGCGTCAATATTCTTGACGCTTTTTCCATGAATGAAACTTGGTCACCAATCAGACGTTTCTATAATTAATTGATGACAATCAGCTTTCTCTTGTCTGGAGAAGTTTCTCTGGGTCCGGATTAAAGCATTCCAACTGTATTTTCAATAGTTAATTTTGTATAGTTTGTGTTAATTTGATATAGATTTTACACAGACAATAATACAAACTTAACAAACAGTTACCAAGTGTTTTGCTCTTTAGATTTCTCTTTACTGACTCTCTCCCTCCCCCTTCCTCAAACCACAAACCGGGATCATCTTCTGTAAAATATGTGATTGCTTAAATAGACAGTACAGACTATTTTAAGGGTTTCTAATTTTCCCCATGTCATGCTTCTTGATTCACGTATGTTATTCTTTTGTAATTCCATGCACAGATTCAAAAGTTAAAAGTTTCCTGTTTGAAGCTACGTGATGATCAATCAGCATCCTACTGTCTGGGGAAGTTTCTCAGTCTCCTGTCTCATCTTACAGACCTGGAGACTCAATCATGTTCCTTTCATGATGATTTCTACAAAGAGATTGCTGATCGAGCTTCGTTATCTCAGGTTAGAACTTCCTTTTTGTTAAAGCAGATAAAAAGAGATGTGGAATATTAATTTTGTTTCTTTTTGTTAAACCTGAGGATGCGGGATAGGACTAAGAATAAATTGGCGTCAATATTCTTGACGCTTTTTCCATGAATGAAACTTGGTCACCAATCAGACGTTTCTATAATTAATTGATGACAAATCAGCTTTCTCTTGTCTGGAGAAGTTTCTCTGGGTCCGGATTAAAGCATTCCAACTGTATTTTCAATAGTTTATTTTGTATAAATGTTTGTGTTAATTTGATATAGATTTTACACAGACAATAATACAAACTTAACAAACAGTTAACAAGTGTTTTGCTCTTTAGATTTCTCTTTACTGACTCTCACCCTCCCCCTTCCTCACACCACAAACCGGGATCATCTTCTGTCAAATATGTGATTGCTTAAATCGACAGTACAGACTATTTTAAGGGTTTCTAATTTTCCCCATGTCATGCTTCTTGATTCACGTATGTTATTCTTTTGTAATTCCATGCACAGATTCAAAAGTTAAAAGTTTCCTGTTTGAAGCTACGTGATGATCAATCAGCATCCTACTGTCTGGGGAAGTTTCTCAGTCTCCTGTCTCATCTTACAGACCTGGAGACTCAATCATGTTCCTTTCATGATGATTTCTACAAAGAGATTGCTGATCGAGCTTCTTCATCTCAGGTAAAAAAAAAAAAAAAAATTAAAGGAAGCAGACAAAAAGAGATAGGACATATTTGTTTCTTTAAAAAAAACACCTAAGGTTGCGGGATAGGACTACAAATAATTTGGCGTAAATATTCTTGACGCTTTTTCCATGCATGACACTTAGTTATCAATCAGACGTTTATATAACTAAATGATGACAAATCAGCTTTCTCTTGTCTGAAGAAGTTTCTCTGTGTCTGGATTAGAGCATTTAAACTGTTTTTAATAGTAATTTTGTTCATATCTTTGTGTTCATTTTATATGCATTTTACACAGAAAATAATACAAACTACCAAACAGTTATCTAAGTGTTTTGCTCTTTAGATATCTCTTTACTGACCCCCCCCCCCCCCCTCAAACCAAAACCCTCGATCATCTTCTGTAAAACATGTGATTGCTTAAATCGACAGTAAAGATTATATAGAGGGTTTCCAATTTTTCCCATGTCATGCTTCTTTGATCACGTATATTATTCTTTTTTATTGCCCCCCCCCCAAAAAAAAAAAAAAGTGGGGGAGCAAAACGCATCCCCCCCCCCTCTCAACAAAAAAGTGGTAAAGGAGTAAAGATGGTTTGTATTTTTAACCCAAAAGAACATAACAATAATAAAAGCCTGAATTAAATGACATATAAAATTCCATTCAAAGAAAAGGAAAGCTAATAGGAATTTAATTTCCTAAACATTGCGCATGCCACCTATGTCAATGGAGGTTTTTATAATAGCGATACGCGCATATCGTGGACATATTGTGAGAGAATGGGAAAGCGTGTCTGTTTTTTTGTAATAGGGGTGAGAAGCTCATGAGCCCTGAACGCTGGCGTACTGATAAGGGGGGGGGGGGGTTGTATTAGATACCAGTGATTTACAAATGTTGCTGAAATAATATGATTTTCCGGTATTTTTTCTCAATTTTGTTGTAAGTCATACCTTTTTATGCGTTTTTTGGAAAATTAGAAATTCCCAAACTTATATGCTTATTTAGAAGCCTTTATGTCAGGGTCTGCAGAACAGCCGGGCCTGGGGGCTCGAGCCCCCTCACTTTTTGAAAAAGTTTGTTACAGAGAAAAAGAAAAGAAAGAGAGAGAGAAAAAATAAGTGACTTGCCAATGTCACACTTTTTGAAAAAAAAGTTTGTTACAGTGAAAAAGAAAGGAAGAGAGCGAGAAAAAATAAGTAACCCGCCAATGTCACAAAATAATGAGGTATCAAAATATGCTCATTTGACCGTAATTAAATGCCTAAAACCCCAGAGCTTACGGGGGCTCTGCCCCCGGACCCCACCAAGGTTCCTATAACGGGCCCCTGTATGCTCATCTGACCGTTATTAAATACCTAAAACCCCCGAGCTTCCGGGGGCTCTGCCTCCTGGACCCCACCAAGGGCCTTTAAGAGAGCCCCTGGATGCTCATCTAACCCTAATTAAATACCTAAAAAACCCGAGCTTCCTGGGGCTCTTTTCCCTGGACTCTCCGCCAATTAGTGGCCTGCCAGTGTCACAAATAAGGTATCTAAATATGCGTCACTGTCATTACGTCACTGCCCCTGGAAGGGGAGCCCCCTGGAATGTTTGCCCCCCCCCCCATCCCGTCGAAACGCGTCGTATGACGGACATAAACCTCGGTTCGTCGACAAACCTTCTTTGTGAATTCGGGCCATAATAATCAGAACCGACGGATGGAATACTATCAAACTCAGGACAGCAAGTTATCTTGCAGAGCCATGTATATAAAAAAAAATAGCTTGTAATCACGATATTCTGAGAACTCGTTATTGGATTACTATCAAAGTTGAATATAAAAAATTACTTCCGTTTTTTTTTTGTAAAGTCGCTTTATGGCAGAGGCATCATTTTCAAAAAAAATTCTCCCATACAATATGCTACTGCCCAATTACCATTGTTTTCCCTTTTATTTTCTTGCTCATCAGATATATCATTTTCTGCATCCCCCCCCCCCCCCCACTTTAGAATCCTGATCATCTGTTGTTATTATATGAATGCTTAATGTGAGACTACAGATTATAATGGTTTCCAATATTTTCCAAATTTCATGCTTCAAATGCCATTTATTTGTATTTATTTATTTATTATTTATTTGATTCTATCAATCGACAACCTGCCCCTTCAAAAATGATACGGGGATGCCTTCCATACTTTGGCTACTCTAAGCATGGGTGTCCTGTACAATCATCCCCCCCCCCAATAATTCACCATCAAAAAAAAAAAAAAAATGAAGAGAAAAATTAATGATGAGAGCCCGATGAGAGTAGTTAAAGGTTATTACTCGCCAGATGACCATCAATATACACATTTTGCTATCTCATTTTCATAATACATATGTAAATGAGACAACCGTATATGAGACAAGAATAAATGGAATTCTCGCTCATACGGCTTCATCAGGAATTGAAGAATTTATTCAATTTATTCAATCAACAGCATTATAGAAATGCAGTGCGCCAAATGCAAAGCCGCAGCGTTGAAAAGCAACGAGCTAAATGTTAAGCGCGAAGCGCAAAAGTGCAAAAAAAGAAGTAGAGAGTGGGAGAGACAGATAGAATACAGGCGCTTAGCCAGGGGGCGGTCGCCCCCCCCAAAAAAAAAACACCAAAAAAAAACACCAAAAAAAAACACAAACAAAAACGCAGGCCCAAAAAGAGAAAGAGAGAGAGAGAGAGAGAGAAGAAAGGAAGAGGACGTAGGGAAAAAAAGATTAAGAGTCGAGAACAGTACAACGAATCGTCATCTTTCTCTAATAATGTAATGAAACGTCAAAGTTTCCGCTCTTCGCGCGGGCGGGGGGGGGGGGGACTTAATTCAGACAAGGATAAAGAGTCGAGAACGGTACAACGAATCGTCTTCTTTCTTTAATAATTTAATGAAACTTCAAAAGAAACTGAATTCAGACAAGGATTAAGATTCGAGAACGGTACAACGAATCGTCATCTTTCTCTAATAATGTAATGAAACAATAAAGGGGGGGGGGGACTGAATTCAGACAAGGATTAAAAGTCAAAAATGGTACGAGTCGTCTTCTTTTCTTTAATAATATAATGAAATGTCAGAGATTTCGCGCTACGCGCGGAGGAAGGGGAACTTGATTCAAACAAAGGATTAAGAGTCGAGAACGGTACAACGAATCGTCTTCTTTCTCTAATAATTTAATAAAACGTCAAAAGAAACTGAATTTAGACAAGGATTAAGATTCGAGAACGGTACAACGAATCGTCTTCTTTCCCTAATAATTTAAAGAAACGTCAAAAGAAACTGAATTTAGACAAGGATTAAGATTCGGGAACAGTACAACGAATCGTCATCTTTCTCTAATAATGTAATGAAACGATAAAGTTTCCGCGCTTCGCGCGGAGGAAGGGGAACTTGATTCAAACAAGGATTAAGAGTCGAGAACGGTACAACGAATCGTCTTCTTTCTCTAATAATTTAATAAAACGTCAAAAGAGACTAAATTTAGACAAGGATTAAGAGTCGAGAACGGTACAACGAATCGTCTTCTTTCTCTAATAATTTAATAAAACATTAAAGCTTCCGCGCTTCGAGCGGGACGGGGAACCCCCCCCCCTTTCTGCACCCATCCCCCTTTGCGCGCTCTGTAAGTGATTCGCAAGTTGCAAGCCACGTGGGACCCACATGGGTCCTATATTCTCTGAAATGTTATCTTTATTGAGGGTGACTTGAAAAAAGTTAATAACTTGTAAGGGAGGGGGTGCAACCTGCCACACGCTTCTACCTCTTGGTTGCTTTGATCCATTGCCGAACATATTTTGGCACCTATCATCCCCCCCCCCAACCACGGATACAAATCGACACCGTTGACTCTAAGTATAGAAATCAAATGAAACATAAACAAATTACAATTAAACATGAGAACTTCATAATCTCTCTCTTCGTTTAGTCTTCCACACCTTTACGGCTATCTTTTGTTATTATATCCACCTAAAATTATACTGGAAAATCATTACATAATTATTGTGATTTCATTATCGGTGATATTTGTATGCTACATGTACATGGCTGATGCCAATTGATTTTCTATCCCAACAGATTCAAACAGTCCAACTGGAATGTGCATCTAACATATCAGTCGAGGAATCCAAGCAGCTAGCCAAGTTTCTCTGCTCTCTACCCTGGCTTACAAACTTAAAGGTCGTTGAGGGGAAAACATTACATGATGATTTCTTTGCTGAACTTAATTCCTTTGCTGCATCCTCACAGGTGATAAGAAAATTCCGTGCTCAGGCAGTAGAAACATGCATGGATGTAGAAGCACTTTTGCTGCTTACCATCAACTATCTAAGTAAGGGGTTATATGTGGGAGTTTTGAAAGCCAGACTCGTCCATTTATAGATTTAGAAGAAGAAAAACAGCCAGGATGAAATCGGGCAAGAAATAAAGGAAAAGTAATATGTGGTCTATGACCCCATTAAAAAAAAAAAAATGATTACTATACTTTAGGATTTATGGAGTTGACTGTGCATATTTAAAAAAGTGTACCCAACTTTGGTAGCTTCTGATTAAAAAGCCATTATGTGCGTGTTATATCAATCCAAAAAGAAGAACATTTGTTAATATCAACTCAAACTCAAGGAAATGCTTATTACAAAGCAAATTTTATGATATTTCTCTTTGTTGTGATAATTACAATCTTGAGTTGAGTCCTTTGCATCCTTTGTTGAATGTAACTATTCTCATTGAGTGAAACAAGTTGACAGAGTTTATTTGGGATGTTATATTTTTTATGAAAGTTTACCGTCAACTTCTTTGACACTAGACATCATATGTTTGCTTTCTTGCATTCAGGTTTAGTAATTCCTTTGAGTTTTCATTCGCTATTCGAGATAAACACGGTCGTGTAATATGCTCCTTGTGCGTGTAAAATGGCGCAGCGGACAAGTGAGCAGAGAGAACTAGATATCATGAGACAAAAATTTAGTAGACTGTTCAAAATATTTAAAGGTTATCCTATGTATTGAAACAAGGTTATGTGAAAGCCTGGATACATTGCATCATTTTAAACAATGAAGTACTGAAGCACGAGGCATAATGAAACTTGTAAAAGGTATAAAGATGAAAGAAGAACATGCATATCGCCTGGTCTATATTCTCGCTCATTCAGCCCAAACTTGGTACAAGGCGATTTTGACCACACTTTTTAAATACCCTGGTAGAAATATTATGAATAGGGATCATTGGACAGAATCAATTTAATCGTCATTATGAAACCGAATTCAAAGTCATGTTGGTTATGACTTTTTAATTAGGAGCTACCAAAGCTGGGCAATTTTTGTGTATAGGCACTGTAAATGAAATTACATAAGCATGAGAACTAAGCATACTTCATGAATTACACATTACATATTACATATTATATGTATTACAGGTCACAGGATAATATCAACGAATATACATATGCTGATGAAACCCTATTCATCCTGTGTCATTGAGAGGGGGTGGAGAGCTACACCATGATGACAGAAAACAATTTCTGAAAAACTATGTTCGAACATTTTATATTATGTTCGGGAAATCAGACGTACTGTACAATTTTTTTTTCTCGATTTGTCCGTCATCTCCCCCTAGCATTGCTTTTGTTCATTTTTATGTATCTAATTAATAATACTATATATAATGAATCGTAAGGGTATAGTCTACAAACTCTACATATACATCTGTATCCTTGTTCATAGATCTACTTTTATAGCGAAAAAATAGGGGTTTCAGAGATTAAAAAGAGAGCGCATTAAATGGACGAGGTTGGCCAATTTCGTATGTTACCAATCAATCCCTTCTCTCCTTCCCCTTATTTTTACAGTTAATCACTTTTTATTTCATTTTTTATCTAAAAATCTGTGTATGGTTGTCATGTCAGCAACCTTACTTCAGGGAAAAGAAACATGTCAGAATGCTACGGAATTGGTCAGCAAGAAAACGTAATCGTCAAAAACGTCAACAACGACAACGCAACCAGTGTGAAACACAACATTCGCCACACCATGGTCTAGAAGAAGCAACACAGGACACCGCTGTTAGCCAGAGACAGGAAGATGCAACCCCAATCGAAACTGATGACTCCTCGCTATCATCATCTTCAGAATACATCAATTCCCAAACTTCGGTGTATCAAGGAGGGCTGTCAATTGGAATAAAACCAATCTATGAGAATGATGATAACCTTGCCATGCCCTCAACCAGTGGATTGAGTTCTGCACAAAGCAGAACTGATGCAGGTATGGAAATCAGGCTCAATAATTTTTATAGGCCCTTATATTCACCATGCAATGACTAATTATATCATGGTATATAACAAGATCTGGTTTATACTTACTTTTTCTTTCATTCACAAAATGGAATGATCATTGTAGAGTTGTCGTGGTCTCGTGGACATGTCACCGGACCGTAGATCACACGGTTCGCATTTCGAACCCCACCGCAGCACTAATGTCCTTTGGCAAGATATAACATTTGCCCCATTCCAGGTGTTAAATATTATTGGTACCCAGTAATTATAGTTCATAACCATGTATGTCTAGTGTTTTAAGATAAACATTGATTTGGAGTAATGTTTTTCTTGCATGATGCAACCTTAACCTAAGCAGATGTGTAATCCGTCGAATTATAAGTTAAAGAAAGATTATTTAGTTTTTACCTGCAACGTTCACCATAAAAGAATAGGAATCATTAGATTTAAATGTGAATTTATCTAACATTGACCAATATGGTCACAATTAAATAAAGTATAAGAAATCCCCCAAAGGAAGTGACACGGTATTAGTGAGTTTACATTAAAACATATAGCATCGTTGCTTGTAATGTATATGCATATTGCAAATGCTTGTATTCGCATAATTATACCGGTAAGATTTGGAGTTCCCTTCAAATACAAATTTGTTATCCATTTTTCAAAGTTTTTACTAAAATTTAGTTTTATATTCGTCATTTAAATTCTTTTACAACCTGATATTCTCACATATTTGTTTAATTCTTTATTTTATTGCAGCTCCAGTGGAGAGTAAACAAATTCCTGAACATCGGTAAGTAACACAATATAGGATTACCTTTTTCTCTTTCTCACATCTCCCCCACTCTCTCTCTCTCATCCACTCTCTTACTTTCTCCTTTCTCTCTTCATCTATTTCTATTGCTGTCTTCAACATTTCTTTTACCTTTATAATCATCTGTTTGAAGCCATATTTCGAAATTTCGTACTTATTTTCCTACATTATACTTGATTTGAAATCTTTATTTTTTTTTTTTTTCTTTTTCTTGTATGAAATCTACTCTTATATAATATACGCTTGTATACAAAAAAACAAATATATATATATTTATATATAAAATGTTTTTGATTGTAAAATGTTGAATAAATAAACTTCGAACTTAAACTTCAACTGATTATACTTTGACACACCTTTACGCCTTCTTCACACTCCCCTCAGTGTCTTGCTGTAATGCTTTTTTTGGTATTGCTTTCTAATGGCATTCAATGAAATTATGCCATGAAATTATGCCTTTCCCTCGACTAAATTGGATCGTGTGAAACGGCTACTAAATTGGGCAGCCCAATTGATATTTCGGGTTTCTAGGGACTATCCATCTCAGCCACTTTTGAGATTATTACACTGGCTTCCTTTCAAACAAAAATCGTTTTTGTTTAATTACTCTTGTTTCTATTAAAATTACTCAATAATGAAGCTCCACAATATAGATACCTGTTTGAATTTGTATAGACCTGCCAGGGCATTGAGGTCAGCCAGTGATCCTTTTCGTCTCACATATAGTTACCCGCACATTGGCAGGTGATAGGACATTTACTGCATCTGCCTAAAAATACTGGAATGATCTACCACTTAGAATTAGGCAGTCTGCATCAGTTATAACCTTAAAAACACATGTTTTCTGCAGTTTATAGTTGTATTTCTGTTTTTCTTATTATATGTATTCATGTGATTTTGATTTTTATTCACTGTAAGCGCTTTGAGCCTAATGGGAAAAGCGCGGTATAAGTAATGATAATAATAATAATTGAAAGTCATCAGGTTGCCTTTAATTTTGAATTTGAATTGGATGTAGAATAAGTAAAATCCAAAGGTTGAAACATTAAAAAAAAACAGATCAAAACTATTTTCACATCCCAGTTTTTCCTCTCTCAACCCTGACTTTTAAAGCCTCTCTCATCCCCTCTCCAATCCCAGCACTCTCAGTTTAAAATGTTTCCAAATCTCAAACACTTTTATCTCAATGTTAATTGTTTCTCTCTCTTTCTCTCTCCCTCACTCTCTCGTTTCTAAACGTTTTCAATCTCCATCTGCCCCTTGTCTGTATCTCTCACAATCTCCCCATGCTCCCACTTCGTTCTCTCTCTCTCTCTCCCTCTCTCTCTTTCTGTCTCTCTATTAAATAGCAAACGCATTCACGGCGACAGCGATGATGACGATAATGGCGATATCAGACAGGAATATACAACCCCAGTAGAAACTGATGACACCTCGCTATCTTCATCTTCAGAATATATCAACTACCTGACTTCGGTGCATAAACGAGGGCTGTCAATTGGAATGAAACCAATCTATGAGACTGATGATAACCTTGCCATGCCTTCAACCAGTGGAATGAGTTCTGCACAAAGCAGAACTGATGCAGGTATGGATATCGGTATGACAAGGTCAGGTAACATATATTTTCTTTCATTAACGAATTTGGATAATCATTGTAGAGTTATCGTGGTCTCTCGGAAACGTCACTGGACTGTGGTTCACACGGTTCGCATTTCGAACCCCGCCGCAGCACTAGTGTCATCTGGCAAGATATTAATCTACATTTGCCACTCTTTCGGTGTTTAATCGGTACCCGGTAATTATAGTTCATAAACATGTATGTCTAGTGTGTTAAGATACAACATTTACTTCGAGTAATGTGTTTTTCTTGCATGATAAGCAAATAAAGCAGAAGTGTACCCTGTCAAATTAACAGCTTAACAAAAGATTGTTTATGTTTATAACCTGTAACGTTAACTATAACGGAATAGGAATCATTAGATTTTAATATGATTTTTTGCAATCATTCAAATGAACATGCAATCATATCATGGTCATAACTAAATAAAGGATGAGAAACCTCCTTAGGAAGTGATACAGTTTTAGTGAATCTACATACGTTGACAAAATAGCAATGTTGCTTGTATTGTATATGCATATTGTTAATGCTTGAATTCGCATACAAGATTGGTAAGTTCTTTTCGAATACAAATTTGCTATGTACAATTAAATACACTGTGTTAACCACTTATACTTTACAGGCCTATTTACCTGTTTAATTTTAAATACTCCTTGCAGTAGACTTTTTATATCTGCTTATAACAAAACTCGATGTAATTTCAGGGATTCGTAAGCGCCAAACTATCCGCTTAAAATTGATCTTATCAGTTAATCATCAGAACAATCTGAAAATTCACTGATGATAAGAATTAAGATACCCGGAAAGGGTAAGCAATTTTATAGGCTCAGTGAGTGGCATAGGGTTCAATAGGATTATAAAAATCGGTAGAAATCACAATGAAAAGAAAGACAAAACCAGTAAATCATCTATTAGGGTGCAAAGTACCATCAAAGGAAGAAAATACCTGTTAAAATTGAAGTCCACCTTGATGTTTAGTTGGTTTTAATAGAAGCAACAAAAATGAGAGGATCAGTTCAGTGAATGTTTGAGCAAAATCAGTTTAAAATTAGAAGGCTTTATAATTCATGAAGTTTGTATCAATCAAACACAAATTAGTAACTCTGTGACGTATCTTGCGAAGTCCCCTCCCATTTTCTCTGTACAATCAGAAGTGTACATTTTTTCCAAATAAAATATTCAATCATGCATGACATTTTCTAAACATCTAGCAAATCGGAGAGGACCTCGCAAGATATGTAACAGAGTTGCCAATTTGGGTTTCATTGATTATAACTTAAAATATCAATAACTTTCCTATTTTAATCTCATGTTGCAAAATCGTTCACTGATTAGTTTCTCTCGTTTTTCTGCTTTGATTGAAACCAGCTGATTATCAGGATGGACTTTCTCTTTGAAGGTCTAAAATCAGATATGTTAGACGGGTTTTCCGGTATAGTGTATGAGAGTCTCAAAACTACTCTAGCCTTTGATCCTCGTTTAGGGTGCTTTTCAGAAAGTGATTTGCGCGGATGATGTAGTGCTCAATTTGACATTCCCCCGTGCTATCAAGGAATAAGTTCTGAAACAATGCCTGTGGTATGTGGAGACAATGGAATATATTTGGTCTTTACTTATTTATTTTACGTATGATATATTACCTGTGATGTACAAAGTATACTGTTAATAAATTGCTGTTATCAGATGATAGCTCTGCAACTGGAAATTTCGGGGCCATTGGAGGAGAGCTGTCTACCAGATCCCATGGGTTTACACTCCGCATTCCACCTGGTGCTCTTGAGGAAGATAAACAAATCAGCCTTCAGGTACTGACCAAGATTCCAGATGGCCTCACACTTAAAGACAACGAGATTCTCGTTAGCCATGGCTTCCAGTGTTACCCGTCTGGGCTAAGCTTTAAGAAACCGGCAAAGCTGATAATACCTCACTGTGCACTAGTCACTGATCCGAACAAAGTACAGACCATACTGTACTCCTGGAATCAGTCAGGTAACTAAATCATATGTTCAGTCTTTCTGAAATGAAGTGAAGGAAATAAGAGTTTATTGATTTGAATTGAAAATTAAATATAGAAGTAGTTCTCATATTCACAAAAAGTATGTTCATTTTAGTATAAAAATAATGTCCAGTCTTGTTCTAATTTGTAATTTTACCCTTTTGAATTGTACTCCAGTCGCAAAAATACTATGCATAATTAGGTTAACCCTAATTAGCTAACTTCCGAGATTTAAGTTGTTTCTTGTCGTTTTAAAATAAATTGAATTTGTTTGGTTTATTTGAAGGTACACCTAAACGGCTTCAACATTCTTCCGAAATTACTTGTTCAGTACGAGAACGATGGCTAGAGATTTCAATCAGCCATTTTTCCGGAGGATTCTTTGCCTTATATTGGGACTGGCTATTTCTGGAGGGCATATTACTGTCATGCATGTCATTTCTACCTAGTGTCTTGCCTTCAAATAGACGACCACTACTGGAGGTTCGTTTCGTCAGGAAGCCTCATGGCCAGAAATGGGTAAACGGAGATTTAACACCATAATTTATGGCGTATTTAAGTTATTTTACTTCAAGGTGGATACATGAGATGTACGTTTTACTCTCCCATTCAACATT